GAATAGAATGATATTAAAAGCAGCATGATTTCTCTTTGATACTTAACCAGAGGTATTCCTTCATTCTTGATAGTCCCCTCAAAACCCACTTTCTTTGTATTGCAATTACTGGCAAATCAACAGCTATCAAAGTAACCTGTGTCAAAAGTATGCTAACATCTTGGACTGTAGCCCCTAATTCTTAAAAATAAGTGTCTCAAGTGTAGCTTAAGAGGATAGTGGCTACAAGCATGCTGGTGGCTAAAGAGGCCAATGTGAGATAGACAAGTCTGGTTGCAAAAGGCACAGCAGAAAGACTCCTTGTCGCAAGACACAATTCTTTCTGCGTTGTCTTTTCTCTTCGAGGGTGATCCTGCGTGCGTTCTCAAAGGAAGCAGCAGCATTATAGATAGCATGTCTCCAGACCTCCCGATTGGAGGCCAGAGTAGACCAGCGGTGAAGATCAATGTGGCCAAGGCTGAGATGTTGCTTCAGGGAGTCCTTGTATCTTCTCTTCGGGGCTCCTCTCTTGCGGCAGCAAGTGGCAAGTTCACCATAAAGCAAGATCTTAGGGAGGCGATGGTCCTTCATCCTGGAGACGTGTCCTGCCTAGCGCAGCTGTGTTCTCAGCAACATGGCCTCAATACTTGTGACTGCTGCTTGTTCCAGAACAGATGTATTGGTCACATAATCTGTCCAGGGGACGTTTAGGATTATACGGAAACAGTGTTGATGGAAGCGTTCTAGGAGTCGCAGGTGGTGACAGTAGATGACCCATGATTCAGATCCATATAAAAGAGTAGACAGCACTATGGCTCTGTAAACACTGATCTTGGTACTTTTCTTCAAGTGTTTATTTCACCAAACTCTTTTATGGAGTCTTCCAAAAGCTCTATATGCCTTTGCTAACCTGTTGTCTATCTCTCTGAATCTTACCGTCCGAGGAGATGAGGCTACCTAGGTAATTAAACTGCTGGACTGATTTGAGCTCTGATTCACCAATGGTGATATGGGGATGATGGAAGTCTTCCTGAGATGCAGGCTGATAGAAAACTTCTGTCTTCTTCAAGCTGACTTCCAGCCCAAAAAGCTCAGTAGCCTCAGCAAAGCAGGATGTTAAATGCTGCAGAGCTACTTCTGCATGGGCGACGAGGGCATCGTCGTCAGCGTAAAGCAGCTCACTGCTGGTGGGGATTGTGCCCTCATGGGAGAGGAGAGGAAGAACTTGGGAGCGCAAGAGGTTTGTCAGTCCAATTTGGGGGAGAGGAAGGGTGTCAGACAGACCGTGGGGGTCCCCAGACCAGTGGGAGGGCAGGCGGGGCAGTCCTGTATGGAGTATCACGGGTGAGCAGTGCGAGGGAAGATCTCTGGTAACACAGTGGGGTGGCAGAAAAGTAGGGAGTGAAAGGCTTGCCCTAACCATTTTAGTGGGGAAGAAGCCTGTGTGCCCCTATGCGGTTGCAAGCTATGCTGATGATGGTACATGCCTTCGGCAGGGCCTCCCATGCCAGACAGGTCAAAACCAAAGTACGAACCATATATTGTTAAAAAAGCAGTTGCAGCTGTTCTCAAATCTTGCTCTTATCCTTATTTAACATCTCCACTCAGAGCTGAGATTTTCAAAAATTCAAACAGCACAAAGCCTGCATGGTACAGTATAGTGGATACATTATTCCCCAATTTTTTCAGTGCATAGTTCTAGCTTCATCTATGGTTTATTAATTCAAGGACAGGTTTGGTGCAGGTGTTTTTAGACAAGCTAGCATTAGAGACCTTGCTTAGGTGCAGGAGAACAAACATTTTCCAACTCACTATAGCAGCTGCTCGCCCGATGCCCTGTGCTGCTGCAGACAGCAGGATGATCTTCCCATCCAGCCGACCCATGGCGCCCACCTGTGCAGACAGGAGATGTCACAGAAACTTTAACAAAAACATGAACCAACACCAACCCCTGGGAATCAGATGCAAGTACATTCCAAAAACTAGACGTGATCCAGAGTGTACCTCTGCCATCACAATTGTCCTTTTTGGCTGCAGCATGACCCTCAGGGTTCTGAGGGGCAGGACTGCCGCAACCTTCTTTTTTTTTTTCCTCATTTTTTTAAAATTAATTATATATAAGGACCTCAAAGAAAAACAAACCCAAAAGGCATTTGATCTCAGGAGTTAGGCTTTATTATAACAATAGCTTGTAATCTAGTGTTTCCACTGCCCACTGTGTACTTAGAAAGTAGGTCTTCCTCCTGTTTCTCTCAAACTACAAACACTTCAACTTCCTATACTGCAATAAATTCCACACAATACCCTGGTCTTGGTATCTGCTCTGAATTGTCTTCAGAGTCTTTCAGCACAGCAGATTCCCAGCTCCAACGAAGCAGGAAGGTGGGAGGGGAATGAAGCTGTCTTGTTTCCCCTCTCTGGTGTTGCTTATTCTCAGGGAACCACGGAGCACGCCTGGGGCAAGTGGCAGGGAACTTTTAGGAGCTTCTGCCTTAGTTATTGTGTAGCAGCCAAAAGGCAAAATACAGTTCTATTCTGCCGCAGTGCACACATTCATATGCTACGTTAGATTTAAAGAAATAAAGCATGCAAAGTTGCAGACAAACAAGTGAAAGCAAGTGTCATCACCTCACTTCTGTGGATTTTTTGTTTTTTAAGGAGAAAATGACTTAGTAGGATGTTTCAAAGAAGTGCCTAAAAAGTAAGGTCACTGTGTTCCAGTCAGAGTGGAGTATTTGGAGGTTCTTAACTGGGTTCCCCATAAGTAAAATTTTCTAGTTTTATAGTCCTCTGAGCAAACTTTGTCTATGTAGCTATGAATGTAGAAAGGTGCCGTAAGAATATACACATAAAAATATACACGTGAAACCAACACACCAAGTTCTTCAGTGGGAAGTTAAGATAAAGGTACCTTAATCTTCCTTATGTTAGCAGCCAATGCTATATTCTACAGAAGCTCAAATCCATGCTGTGACTCAGATTTCCAAATCAAATTTAGTGTTCTACGTCTTAAGTCAGATTATTAATTTATCTTATTTGCATCAAAGAGACATTGTTTAGTCAGATGTTTTTCCTGACAAAAGTTGGAGCAAAACTGTTTTCCTGAAGGTTACAGGTTCAACAAATCAGACTTCTGAAACAATGTAACTGAAAAATTCTTTTCTTTCCAAAAGCCACCTCATCAGTTCAATTACTTCCCCAAATCACCGTAACACATTGGAAGCAAAATGCACTATAAATACGTTTTTCAATACAGCAATCAGGTTTTACCAACATTTGTCACAGACTCTATGAAGCACTTACAAATAAACAGTAATATAGTCACTCACCAAGAGATCTAAAACTGCTCCGTTACTGACCTTTGTACAAAAGGAAGTTCTACAAGTTTTTTTACTGTGCTTGTTGGTATTTGTTTTTTCTTATATGAACGTAATTTCCTGTTGAAACACTGAGATGCTGCCATCTAGTGAAACCTAAGATTTTAAAAGTGCGGTTTTTCTCCTGCAAAGGAAAGGACAGAAAAGGATTGCCAGCATTAGCTTTCTCTTTCCCCTAAGGAATTCAAGAGGTCAACAGGATTCCCACAAAAAAAGCCACAAACCTGTTTTTCCAAGCAATCTCTCTTTAGCAATATAAGCTATCAAATTCCAAACTAGGACAACAATGAAAATATTAATCGTGCCAACTATTGTTAAACTGGTGGTTTACCAACTTTTCTTTGGTATCTAGTGGTTTAACTTACATTTGTTAAAGCAGAGTTAATATCATCAGACTGAAAAATTCTAGGACAAAATAATTTGGTGAGAAGCTCACACCAGACATAAAGCTACCCTGATAATAAGAAATTTGGTGTCCTGCCTAACCTTTAGTTAGTTTGTCCTCAGAAAAGCCCCTTCTGTGGATAAAGTGGGACACACATACACAAAGGTTCAGTTTATCCTGTCTTTCTGCTAAACTATGATAGCTTTCTAGGGCTTTCTAAATCAGGAAATAAAATTTCCCCCCAGGAAATAAAATCTTTAATGACTGTTTTCTAAAAGCATTTATCTTTCTGTCCCTAAGGTTTTGCCTCTGAATGCAGACACAGACCTGTTGCAATAAGTTTCTGCTTTTTTTTTGCTCCATCACTAGAAAAATCTCCAAATCCAGAAATGTTCCAAACAAGCAGTAATTAACAAAAAAAACCCCTGGAAATTGTATATGAAAGAGGTAGCTCTCATATATATACACACATTTTTCCCTTCTGGAAGAAAAAAAGACAGTTTAATTCATTTATTAGAACACCAAAATGCTGGTACCCAAAGGAAATATCTTTCAATCATAGTGGAAAATAAAAAAAAATCCCAAACCAACCAAAACACAAAACCCCAACCCAACCCAAAAAATCCTCCAACCAACCCCTAAACAAAAAACCTGCGACAAATACATCAGCACTTTGCATTTGTCCCTGTAAGCAAATAAATTGCTCTTGCCTGCCTATGGCTGTGGTCAGAAAGAAGACATTTCAGTTCTGAACTCCATAATGGTATTTAGAATCTGTGTATTTTTGGCTAGTAATATCTTCAAATGCTTCCCAAAGCATGCTACAAGTCAGAGCTTGAGAGATAAATGCTTGCAATTTTTTAGTAGTTACCACAGCTGGCAGTTTTCAGCTACTCAAGGCAAATGGATAGTTGGTTCTTTATTATAGATCTCTGAAGTACCTCCATTAGGTAAATAATTCCTGTGTGACTCTTCCAATTCCAGTAACTGCTGAACGCCCAGGAACGTGTCAACGTAGCCATTTGCTTATCACTTTGGGTGACCCAAAATGGAATACTTATGAGACTGAGCATCACTGAAAGCTTTATTCCTCTAAAATAAGGATGATGCTTTTGATGCAGTTATCTTTCTTAGATACGACTTTCTTATCTCATAATAATGGTTTCATTTTTAATGGAGTTGATCCAAGGCTTTGAATGCCAAATTCCTATTTAGTTGGCAGTAGAGGGTGTGGGGGCAGGAAAGGGGGGAGGATCTATGTTTTAGACTTCAACCATTTCTTGACAGAGAAAGACTCAGAAAGAATTAAACAAAACTCCAGTGACAGACTTGTGCAATAGTAAGCTTCTGCACAAGTAATTGCTGCAAAAATTATAGAGAACAGAGACAAGAAGCATAATAATGATGAAAGTGATGAGATTAGTATAAAAAATAGCCTTTAGACACTGAATATTGTAATCAACATCCTTGGATCATACTACAAGTGAAGTGAACAACAGAAAAAATTTTAAATACTTAACACATGAAAGTTTATTGTCAAACTTTCTTATATAAAACATACACAAAAACATTCTCACAATACAGATAAGTAGGCTAGTAAGAGAGTCCATCTTGCCCAAATGATCTGGTCTACATTTAATTCACAAGAGTAGCAGAAGAGCATTAAGTCCATTGCTTACTATTAAAAAAACCTCCAATACATAACTTCAAACAGATATATTGCAAGATGGTCCAAAATTCAAAGTTACTCTCGGTATCATAATTGGCTGAGCTGCAGAAACATTCTAAGGAGTTTAAGAGGAACCCTGATTGTGTGCTCTATAAACAGAAAATTAGTAACTTCAGTTCTGGATTGTAGTGAAAATGCAGTTTCTGGGGACTTAGAGAAAGCATGGTATAAAAACCACATGCTGAGAAACAAAAAGAATATTTCTTTCCAAGTCAACAGCAGTCAGGAGATACAAATATCAACCGTCCAGAAGAGGGCTGTTTTAGGAATGACAGAATGAAAAGTTTAAGACTGAGAACTTTCACAGTAGGTTAGTTTATGATCCATTTCCATTTTTTTCTTCAATATAGTATCTTTTCTTTCTTTGCCATCGAAACCCCCCACAACATCAAAACACCAAAGTAGAACATCATCAGATAAGCAGGTTGTGGACATCATGACTACTTTTCCATTTTTGACCTCAAATTCCAGTTTCCCAATCGTGGGAAGTAGCAACTCCAAGACAGCAAGGATGGAAGAGGCTGATGGCTTTTAACCTGAAGCAATTATCTTTTGTATATGCAGATTCTGGCTGTAGCCACTGCAAAGGCAGCTTCCAACACAGCACCTTTACTGGGTGCTACAATCAGGGGCCTTATCTTTGTCTGAAGTCCCAAACAAGTGCTTAAGATGTTCTTCTGTGGACTGTGTGGCCGCAGGACATGTATCTGTACAGAAGACAAGAACATTAAAGCCTTTCTCAATTAGACAAGCTGTAGAAATACAGTGATTTAATCTTGACTAGTGTTTTGTATGCCAACTATCAAAGCTTGGCCCTGAGTAGCTTTGTGTTGTGAGGAACTCTGTACTGTTACCAAGTTGGTCATCACAAAAACAGCAATGAGTCATGTTCTCTCTGAGAGTCTCCTAACGATACCTCAAAAACGGGTTAACTCTTCAACATGTCTGCTGGGGCCTTCTGAAAGTTGGGGGAAGCAAGTGTAATGATGAGGGCAGTAGCATTAATACACTAACAGAGACCACTAGGAGAGTGGTCACTAGGAGGTGACTTCCCCAGAAGTCACCAGGCAAGATATAAGAAATCAGGAGTGAGGCTAAGGAACTGAAGTCACCATCAAAACTGTTATTACTGCAGCTGGTGCCAGGCAGTGTGGCAGATGCAACACCAAAGACTAAAGCCTACTATCTTGAAAAAAGTCAACCAGCCATTAACTTTCAGTAATTTTACCAGAAGTCTGTGATTAACCAATATAAAGTTAAAAAGCAAAACATTTTAGAGCATCATTATCTAAAAATGATATTTTGCTGATTAACTTTTAAAAATCAGTCATCACTTTCACTGCAGAAAAGAAAGAAATTTGTATAATTTTCAGGAGGTGAATGATTCATTTAAATATTTCTGTTATGTAGAGCATATATATCCTCACAGCTCACATGGTCAGCTTTTCAACAGTCAGCTGACTAACCATTCAGGAAAACTGTGTTATCGTGCAAGTTTCAGGTCTGAATATATAAGTACAGAGCATTTACCCTCAACTCAGACTATCCCTTACATTTTTCCTCTCCAAATCTTTACAGGACAACACCACTATATTACATACCTGTTAGCATACCGAAGCTGGAATTATCAAAGAAATTTGTTGGACAACTCAGTGGCAGAGGTTTTGATAGGTCCTGAGTCACAATTTCCTGAGAAACAGGTTCCTTGGAGGGCGAAAGCATTTGTTCTTTAAAGAAATATGATACTGTCTTTTTTGGAGACTGTGGTATTGTCTCTCGAGTATTTTCTCTTGAGGATCGTTCTCTCCATTTTAGTGCTCTTTCTTTCCATTTCCTGAGTTCCTCTTTCAGCTGACGCTCATTACTGTAAAGAAAAAAACCCCAGCATTTAATTAAGAATAAAAAAACCAAAACACAGTTCCTTTAAGGAAAAATTCCAGAACACCAGACAGTTCCTATATTTTCAGATGACATACTACAGACATGGCAATGCAATAGTTGTGTATCTTTCAGAGGAAATTTTTTTTTATTTTTTTAAGCTAAAATTCCTCCCAGCATACAATTCAAGTGTATCTTCCAGCATTTAAGAGATTCTTATGAAAATAAGCGATTTAAAGTTCCAAAGCCATTTATGGCTTTATAAGCCATAAATCACTGGCTTTAAGTAAAAATTTATGAAGTGAAAAAATCTAGCAAATTTCAAATTAGTTACTTCTATAGGTGTCCCAGAAAGAAACACTAATGACATGCATAGTTAAATACAACAAATGTTTTGACATTTTGCCGGTCAGCTTTACACTTACCTTAGTAGAAGGTCATTTTGTTTCTTCAGGTGCAAGTTTTCTTTCTGTATCTTAGCTTGCTCAGATTTTAGCACGAGTATTTGTGTGCTCTGCACAATACCACTGCCACCACCACAAGTAAGGGGTATTTGGGATTGCTGAGGAGCTGCTTCTTTCAGCACTAGAAAAACAATTTTATAGAGAGGTGTGTGCGTTGTTTGGACAGGGCTTAAAACCAACTCAATATACTTTTTAGCCTATTCATTCTTGTGGTCTTATATGTAAAACCTCCCTAGGTTACAAGTGCTATTACAACAGCTATTCTTTTTTCTACACAAACACACCTCCCAATATTCCCACTGCCAGGGAGATACTAAGAAACATAAGATTCTTCATTGGGTCATTTAGAATTAAAATAGTTTGTTTCAGGTATGTCATAACTATGACTAGAACTAGCTATTTGTATGTGCAGTCAGTCAAGGAAAAAATGGTAATGTGAGCTATGACCACAGCAGCTTGTCTCTCCACAAGTGCAAATGTGGCCAGAGAAGTAAACACAAGAACTGCTGCCATTCTAATGTAGTGTATCTGGAGCTAATGTAGTCTGCTTTCCATCTCATCTTTCAACGCACCCAGTTCTCCTCATAGCCTTTGAGATACAAGGCCTGCACCTCAACCTCATCTTAAACCATATAACCTTAAAACGTAATGTCAAGAGTCCCTTCTATTTATCTTGAATTTACCAGTAACATCTTGGTCTTGGTGTGCTCTTCTAAGTTCTTCTTTTAGCTTTGTTAACTCTTGTTCTCGGTGTTCTGACAGAGCTTTATAATTAGCAAGTCTATGAGGCAGGAAGGGAGGGAAAAAACCCAAAACAGAAAACCTCAGTTTAATAGTTATTACAGTTGCAGAAGGGCTAGTTTGAATTCCAATGAGCTATCAAATACAAAAAATACCCAAGTTACACAAGAAGAACTACATAAACCTGGTTGTCAGTTAGATTTTAGGTAAAGTGCACAAATCCAAAAGTTGGACTAAATATTCTCTGCGTATCCCCTCTCTCTAGTGAATTAGAGAAAGCTTTCAATTACTGCTTTCCCCTTGCCTTCTTTTGTCAGAACAGTCATTTCATTTATGGCTGAACATGGTTGGTTGAGAAATTTTGGTGGGTGTATAGGGAAGGAGTTGTGTAAGCGACCTAAGGTGCATATACATTTTACCTTCTCTGGAATCTAGACACAATAAAAACCTGTGACAGCTAAAGCTTAATGCTTACTTCTTATTATGTGGGAACATAGAGAAGTAGAAGCTAAGAACGAAGTAGCAACATAAAATTTGAACTTACTTCATTTCAAAAAAGTTGGATTGTTTCATTCTTTCCATATCACATTTTACCAACTGTGTTTTGAGATGATCAATTTCTTCTTTGTACAACTCAGAACCTTTATCTAATTTTGCCTGAAATGAAAATATTTAGTACAAAGAAAGGCTTGTTACTTAACAGTGGAATTAAGGGTTGTTTACCTTGTATCTGTACTATGATCTGCTAGATTTTGCAGGACAAGAATGGGAGCAGGAAGTTATTTTCACTAAGGTGGCCTGCATTACCAACTAGCACTATAGTAGCAGTTGGTATCCTACTCTCATGTATTACATACAATCATATTTTAGCAAGCTTTGCTGACTTCTGCACAGGTGTAAGTCTGGGAATTTTGGACTAGCATGCAAATGTATTACACTGAAAAAGCAGATCAGGCTTCAGTTTAAAAGTTTTAAATTTTTTTAGAACGTTTCACAAATGCATTACAGATAAATTTACCTTCTAATATTATAATATGGGTTGTAAATTTTGCCTCTGAAGGTTGTGCTGGTAGAATATGAAACTGCAATGCTAAATATGCAAGTAGAGTGTTTTACTCTAGGAATGCCATACAGAACAATACGTTGACTTTAGAGCACTATGTTTCATCTACAGTTCTCAAGCATGCTTGTTGTCTTTCATCAGAGGAAAATGAGAATAGTAAAGTATTTTGCTCATACCTGAAGACTCTGATTCTCTGTTAAGGCAGTCCTGAGGCACTTATCCATCTCATTCAGTTTGGCTTGCAGTTGGGTGAGCTCACTTGTCTCTGTTTTTATACTTATCTGTGCTTGTAACTTGTTTATTCTGTCATCTTTCTCTTTGACATTTTCTCCTACTTCATTTATTACATTTTCCAACTTCTGAACTTTTACTTCCATAGCCTATTGAAATATATCAATCAGTTATGAGTAGTTATGTCAAGAGACAGTAGCTGTAACAGCACACAGTCATATTCTTAGCAAAACCAAAAAACCCAAAATACAAAAAAAAATCCAACACTACAGGCTCAATGGCAACTCTTTGTGTCTAGATCATTATTTTGTGTCCCCTTTTAACAGTCTGGAACACTCAAGTCTAAGAAAAGAAAAAAAGGTTTTGAAGAAGGGTAACTGTGACAAAAAACCTAGGAAAGAGAAAATGAGTCCTCAATTCCTATGATTAGAGAGAACTTTTCTCCAGCTTTGCGTTTGACATAGTGAATACCATATACTTACAGGAAGCATCCAGAGTATCACACTACTAAAATCAATACTTCAAAACCAAATGAAAACATGTCATATGAATTTCTAAACTGACATCTATTTGTGTACAGAAATCAGGTAATTAAAATACTCACATTATAGGCAAGAGCTCAAACTTGAAAATAAAAAAGCTACTAAAATGTACACTCTAGGCTAACATATTGTGGTGGCACAGATTTATAGTTGCCAATCAATCTTTATTTTCATTTTGGAGTACTCTCACTTGGAAAGCAAGCATCAAAGAAGTTTTCCTTAGAAACAAGCATTGGTACCTTCACATTTTGTTCTGCAGCCTTTAATTTATTATGAAGCCTATAGTTTTCTTCTTTTAACATGAGACTGGCAGAGCTATCAGGGGCCAGTTTTTCTTTTAGAGTGTTTAGATCCTGAAGCAACTCTTCATTTTTCTCTTTTCTCTGTTTCAATTCAACATCAGCATTTTTACTGTCATTGGAAGTTCTGGCATCCAGTTCTGAAGAAAGCTGAAGGAGCATCTGCAGTAGCGTCATAGAGATAAAATTTTAAATAATTTCTGAATCAGCTAGAAATAAGGCAAGTATTAACTCAAGCACTGTGTTAACTCAAGCACTATTACAGAAACAAAGGAATATATTAGAAAGACTTCTTGAATATCAGTAACAGAAAGAAACACAACTATTCAGAATTTTTTGCTAGAACATAGTCACTGACTGAAGAAATTTAAACTGTTTTAGAGAAAAAATACACATTGGGCTATTCTAGAAACCCATATATTTAATACGTCAGACAAAGAAAAACTTCACACTTGTCAGGAAATTACAAATAGACAAGATTTTTGTTTGTTTGTTAAAAGCTTTGATCCACAAGCTTTTTTCCAAAAAGCTTGCCAACACTGGGAAATCCTGATGAAGTCAAGACTGGCTATTAATTCTACAGAAGAAACTTTTTAAAATAGGCTAAACTTAACATTTAATGAGGAAGATGAAATCTCATGAAATCCGCTCATGATGCACTTAACCCTGAAAAATGCTGTCTTATTTTCCAAAGAGGGCAAGACATAAGAAAGAAAAGAGAAAGAAAGGCTGCACTATCTCTAGAACAACTTGACTTTTTGAAATTAGAAAAGTGTAATATGAATTACAATTGAGTTTTAAAAATGGCTAAAGTAGTTTTGATGAAGTTTGGCAAGCAAAGCTATATAACGATTTTGAACCTACAGCTTCCAGAATTCAGATTAAGATGACCAGAAAGCAAGTTTCCAAGTTTGGATGCATGAGGAAATCTCTAAGATGTAAGAGTACTTAGAAGATTTTTATAGTAAAGTAAGAGTATAGTAAGTGCTGATAATAAATGAATAATCATTCAAGAGCCTTTGTGTGTTTTGTTTTCAATCAGATTAGGCATTTACAGACTGCTTATACCAAATACATTTCTGATTCTATAACATTTAATTTTACCTTTACTTTAGGAGTCCAGAAGTTAATGACTTGCAAAAGCCTTTCAGTATCTTTCTTTAACTCTTCTTCCAGTTCCTCTGCATTACAGTGAGTTCCTGAACAAGCTTCCCAGAACTGTACTGTTTCTTTTCTAGCACTTTCTTGCTGCTGTAATTCTGCCTCTATACAGAGAAGTTCACTTTCCATTTCTGATACATCTTTGAGAATGCTCTTAAAAAAGGGAATTAAAATTTAAATATCACTTTGATAACCATATGTCTAAATACACATTCTGTCCACTTAGCTATCAATACAGTAGGAAGTCTGTTTTAGCATTTATTTATCATATAAAAGGAGTTTTGCTATACATTACACCCTACTGGGAAAATAAGAAGACAATCTGCATTGCTGGGGCAGGTGGGAAGAGGAAAAAGTAAAAGTTGATTTCATTGTTTTAGAAGTCATCTTGGTACTAGGTAGTACGTATTTTACAGGGCAAATAAGTAAATAACATTCCCACTATTTTCTAACCTATTAATTTTATTTTTAGCCACTTTACAAAATGGAATCTTCACATTATAGAACTAGTAGCATAAAAAAATACTAACACAATTCCTTCATCCTCCTTAAGTGAAGTTTTAACAGATCATAGAATCATAGAATCAGCTGGGT